AAAAACATTAAACTTCACTCTGTCCTATACCTCAAACTCAGAGGTCGCATTATGCTGATGAGATTGATTGTATGTTGTTTGAAGTCCCATTCGAGAATTTTTCACTCATATAGAGACGTCACCATATACCGGTGAAGGGCTTCAAATTTTGACCTTTACTCGGCACTTAGGGCCTTTGAGCAGTGAAGGATCCGAAGGACCCGCAACTTTCACTTCAAAGTGCCGAACGCCTGGCGAAGGGACAGTTGCTACTTATTTTTAGCTCTACTGGTCAGAGACCAGAAGAGCTTATGCGATAGTAAGGTGTCCGTCGTCCGTCCGTCTGTCTGTCTGTCTGTCTGTCTGTCTGTCCGTCTGTCTGTAAACAATTTTTCAAAACGCTACTCCTCCTACAGTTTTGGTCCGATTTCAATATAACTTGGCACACAAGTAGACTACACTAAGATACATAATCTAGTGCATCGGTTTTTGATTTCGATGGACGGTGTTGCCATGGTTACTAAAAATAGAAATTTCTGTGAAATTCCTTTAAAACGCTACTCCTCCTACAGTTTTGGTCTGATTTCAATATAACTTGGCACACAAGTAGACTACACTAAGATACATAATCTAGTGCATCGGTTTTTGATTTCGATGGACGGTGTTGCCATGGTTACTAAAAATAGAAATTTCTGTGAAATTCCTTTAAAACGCTACTCCTCCTACAGTTTTGGTCCGATTTCAATATAACTTGGCACACAAGTAGACTACACTAAGATACATAATCTAGTGCATCGGTTTTTGATTTCGATGGACGGTGTTGCCATGGTTACTAAAAATAGAAATTTCTGTGAAATTCCTTTAAAACGCTACTCCTCCTACAGTTTTGGTCCGATTTCAATATAACTTGGCACACAAGTAGACTACACTAAGATACATAATCTAGTGCATCGGTTTTTGATTTCGATGGATGGTGTTGCCATGGTTACTAAAAATAGAAATTTCTGTGAAATTCCTTTAAAACGCTACTCCTCCTACAGTTTTGGTCCGATTTCAATATAACTTGGCACACAAGTAGACTACACTAAGATACATAATCTAGTGCATCGGTTTTTGATTTCGATGGATGGTGTTGCCATGGTTACTAAAAATAGAAATTTCTGTGAAATTCCTTTAAAACGCTACTCCTCCTACAGTTTTGGTCCGATTTCAATATAACTTGGCACACAAGTAGACTACACTAAGATACATAATTTAGTGCATCGGTTTTTGATTTCGATGGACGGTGTTGCCATGGTTACTAAAAATAGAAATTTCTGTGAAATTCCTTTAAAACGATACTCCTCCTACAGTTTTGGTCCGATTTCAGTATAACTTGGCACACAAGTAGACTACACTAAGATACATAATTTAGTGCATCGGTTTTTGATTTCGATGGACGGTGTTGCCATGGTTACTAAAAATAGAAATTTCTGTGAAATTCCTTTAAAACGCTACTCCTCCTACAGTTTTGGTCCGATTTCAATATAACTTGGCACACAAGTAGACTACACTAAGATACATAATGTATTGCATCGGTTTTTGAATTCGATGGACGGTGTTGCCATGGTTACTAAAAATAGAAATTTCTGTGAAATTCCTTTAAAACGCTACTCCTCCTACAGTTTTGGTCCGATTTCAATATAACTTGGCACACAAGTAGACTACACTAAGATACATAATTTATTGCATCGGTTTTTGAATTCGATGGACGGTGTTGCCATGGTTACTAAAAATAGAAATTTCTGTGAAATTCCTTTAAAACACTACTCCTGCTACAGTTTTAGTCTGCTTCTAATATAATTAGGCATACAAGAAGACTACACTAAGATACATAATTTATTGCATTGGTTTTTGAATTCGATGAACAGTGTTGCCATGGTTACTTAAAATAGAAATTTCTTTGAAATTCCTTTAAAACGTTACTCCTCCTACAGTTTTGGTCTGATTTCAATCTAATTTGGCACACAGTTAGAATACACTACGATACATAATATGTATTTCTGTTTTTTTTTTTATTTGGATGAATGGTGTTGTCATGGTTACTAAAAATAGAAATTTCCATAAAATTCTTTCAAAACGCTACTACTCCTAGTTTTCATTTGATTTCAATATAACTTGTCACAAAAGTAGACTACATTAAGATACATAATTCTATTTATTGTTGCATGTTGCAATGTTTCAAATCCAAGTGCTACTTTTCTTTTGTTATACAAACAGACCAGTAGAGCTACAGTCTCATCAGAGACTTCTGGTTTATCGACTTAGGTCAGTCGCGCCCGAGATTTGAACTCACGGCCTTCCGATCACGGAGCGAGCTCTCTAGTGACTGAGCTACCGTGACGGCTCTATGCTGATGAGAAAGAATGTTTAGGATAAAGGGAACACTTATTGGTACCTTGAAGAATGATATCACCTATCAAGTTTTAGAATTGCTTGCATTGCTAGTCAAAAAAGTGACAGACGGAATTGAAACACGCACCATCATTAATCCTATTCTACTTCAATTGAACGAAATGATTTTTTTCAATGTCAAAGACAAACAAAAACGTCTCCATTACGAGAAAACAGTTTCCAGATCGTCTATACTGGGCATGCACTGTCCATAAAATCCAAAGACAATCTTGATGCCAGGTGTTTGTTTCATCTGATGGCAGATTCTCTGAAGGGCAAGCCTGTGTTGCATTAAGCGCATCTTGATCATTACCAAGCCTCCTTCTGCACAACTTTGACTAAAACTTTTTAAAAAAGGTCAAGTAACTTATTTAATGAAAACAGGAATGCAGCGTTTAAGGGGTACATCATGTCTGTTCTACCTTCTATATGACTTCTTAAATTATGATGAATATCTTCATTACTTTTCTGAATGCAAGATCGACAAGAACACAAAGACATTACGTTATTCACGATCCTGCAATTCTGTTTGCTCCTGTAATTTGCGTTTCTGAATCCTATATCAGACATAATGATCATCACCAACTTGATGAATACCAGTATAACTGCAGCCAACTTTTTATGAACAAGATCACCAAGACTCATAGACTTCTTAATTATACATAATCTACAATTCAAACAGATGCAAAAAGATCACTAAAGAATGAACTGACTCTGACAAGGGATACAACACCGTTTAACAATGTTGTGTTTTAAAGGTTTTCTTCCTCAGTCATCTCTACATTTACTGAAAACCAGTCTTCTTTTTTTTAAATCCGACATCAAATATTTCAACTATTAGTAGTTGGAGACTTCAATATCAACCAAATAACCATGTCGGCTGTAAAAGGACTTATAGACCACTCTTAACACTACCCATTGATACCCATGTCTCTGAACCTATTACATGTATTCAGATCACTCCGCAATAGTTATAAAGAGAAAGCTTTAAGGTTATTTCATTAAAATATCATATTTATTCTACTACAGAGATACTATGGCACACTTAACTCTAGAAAACTGCTGTGTTCAAACATCCATTGTCATTGTTAGGCCATTCCAAGTGTTTTCTCTGTTTAGCGTCCACCCATCTTTTCAAAAACCTACCTACCTATTTGCAAAAAAACACACAAGACAAAAAATAAAACACAGACTTTACAGTAATAAAAATGACATCATTCAAAGAATTTGATTTCATGAATCTATTTTTCTCATAGAAATATCTTTTGTTTTGTAAAATCAAGGTAATAAATGCTTAAAATATACATAATATGACACACTAGAGAGAAATATTTAAAGAACTTGACAAATTTTAGAGATTTTGACCAAAATAACCAATTTTAGGACTCCTGATTTTGTTTTTTTTTTTCTGAAATGGGGTGCCAAAAACCAAGGCGCACGCGGACGCTAAACATAGAAAAAAAACCTTGGAATGGCCTTATGACTATTTTAACGGAGTATATGGAATATGTATCATGAATTCAATTTGTCATTGTCTCTTGGTCATTATTTTCTAATAAGTCATTGTGTACTTTTCTGCATCCAATCAACATTGTTTATTGTGATACTCAGTTACTTAGAAGTATACAAGTATATAAGACCACTTCTCTGTTTTCGGAAAACCATACAATTCAGTTCTCTGCATAACTAATTGAAGAAAAGAAAGTAGAATGTGGTTTATCGTTTTTGTATCAAGTTGCACCAAATGTTATTTTCACAGCCTTGAAATTTTGCATATCTTGAATCTTAGCGGGGGCCTTCGTGACGTATTGGCAAATCTAGTTTAAAGTTTTTTCTTACTTGAATGTATGAAAAAGAAAATGACTTCAGCTTTTCTCTCATCAAATTTCCTTATTTATGTAGTAATATTCCGCTATCACCTGCATATGGTGTTCACGTCTCCCAGCTTATTTGATACTCTAGAGCATGCTCTGAGAACGATCTATTTTTAAACCAAGGCAGCTACAGGCAGATAAATTGATGTTACAAGGATTTCAACAGCCTTGTTTAAAGTAAGCATTTCGTAAGCTCTGTGGTCCTTATAATGACATTGTCAGCAAACCTGTTATTGGACTGTATTTCATACCAATTGTTAGTTTGTTGTTTTTATACTAAATCTGACTACGAAACATTCTGTCTACCTGATCAAAACATAGGGCTCAAGGTGGGTGTAACCGGTCGACAGGGGGTATTTACTCCTCCTAGGCACCTGATCCCACCTCTGGAATTTCCGGCGATCCGTGTTCTATGCCCTGTTTACAGATCTGTATAGTTTGCAGATTTTTTTTTTTTTGAGATCGATCTCTGTTTCCTTATCTTCACCTTTTTCATTTAAATAAAGTTTAAATGAAGGTACAACTTTTATCTATTACATCAAAATATAATAAAATGCAGTAAATATTATGGGACTTTTAGTCCAGTACTGAGCACGTTAAACGTTGGTGAAAGCATAGAATATCATAAGTGGCCTCTTTAAAGTTTTACAATGACTTTGTACAATTTACAAAATGATAGTAGTTTCAGTCATATATAATGAACTCAAAACGTGGTTTGTTTCAAGGGTTTTTATTCTCATTTAAATCAATGATGTTTGATATTCTCTAACTTTATGCTACGTCTAGCTCTGACGGTACACATTTTCATCTATGAATGCACAAGTAGATGAAAAGGTACGCTATCAAAGTACCTTCCTCCGAGTTTTGAAGATACTTGTCATGGATCAGATCATGACGTGAAAGTTAGAGAATTAAAACATTATCCTTTTTTAAACAGCACAACCAAGATATGATCTTTTTGTATAAGCATACTGTCTGATGGGATTCTATCACAATTATTTTGTTCTAGAATTAAAATATGTATATAATATGCATGTGTTCTTTAATTACTGGACACAATGTGTCTTATCATAAAATTGTTTACTAAATTGTTACAGTATAAATAAATATGCGGAAATTTATTCTACAAGTAGGTTGTCGAAAAAAAGACCACCCATCCCGACATTTAAAACACTGCCAAACACCTTATCCGATCACACGGTACACTCGTTAATGAAGATCATACCGGTATGCTGCTATATAAAACAAACGTGGCTTTTTATTTCTTTGGATATTTTGATTCCAGTTTGTATAACTCATTTTCTACACAGGAACTGTTACAGGAACTGGGATAAAGGAGAGCAGTAGAGATGTTAAGAATGTCCATGGGTTCAACATCAGACAGAAATCGGTAGATAGGAATGCCATTTCTATCTACAAGGAATTTTTCGAAGTTCCATGCAACATCTCGTGTCTTGAATTTAGACCAGAAACATTCGTGTGGAGAAAATTTTGCTTCATCTGGAAGACGACATCGTTCCTGCAGGGAAAAATGTATATTTGATCAAGTGACATTTTAAAGAGCAAGTGTACATTTTATTGAAAACGAATCTTATCTCGGGATGATGAAGATGACAGAAAATTGAGACGAATAAAATAATCTAATTTTTTTCAATTTTCTTGACTCAAGTCAGCATGCGAAAATCTAACAGAAAGAATCAATGATACAAGCTTATATGCATTAAAAGACAGATCATGTTTCCCGATCATGACAAGGAGCACACGGCGGGTGTGACCGGTCGGCAGGGGATGCTCACTCCTCCATGGTACCTGATCCCACCTCTATATTTTGAGGTCCATGTTTTGCTCTGCTCCAGATTTGTATCGTTTCATTGGACTTTCGAGATTGAATACTGTTCGTTATCTTCATATTTCATCTAAGCGGCACTTAAGTCCCATGAAATTAAAGATGTCTTTATTTGACCATGACATGGCATTAAACTATGGATAACCTTTAATTTGGTCCGATATGAAAAAAAAATTGTCTTACATAACTTCAAAAATTTTATGCCCCCGGATCGAAAGATCCCGGGGGTATATTGTTTTTGTCCTGTCTGTCTGTTTATCTGTTTGTCTGTTTATCTGTTTGTTTGTCTGTCTGTTGTCAACTTTAACCTTGCCCATAACTTTTGATTGGTTGGAGCTATGACTTTCATACTTCACATGTGTATTCCTTGTGACAAGACCTTTCTTTGGATACCATCATATTTGACCTTGACCTTGAAGTTTGACCCACTTTTGCAAAATTTTATGAGACCTTGGCCATAACTTCTGAACAGTTGGTGCTTGGGGTTTCAAACTTCACACGTGTATTCTTTAAGACAAGGCCTTCCTTTGGATACTAACAACTTTGACCTTGACCTTGGAGTTTGACCTACTTTTGAAAACTTTAACCTTGGCCATAACTTTTGAATGGTTAGAGCTAGGGCTTTCATACTTCACATATGTAATCCTTGTGACAAGACCTTCTTTTGGATACCAACCACTTTGACCTTTTGACCTTGGAGTTTGACCTACTTTTGAAAACTTTAACCTTGGCCATAACTTTTGAACAGTTGGTGCTTGTGGTTTCAAACTTCACATGTGCATTCCTTGTGACAAGACCTTCCTCTGGATATCAACCTCTTTGACTTTGACCTACTTTTGAAAAACTTTAACCTTGGCCATAACTTTTGAATGGTTAGAGCTAGGGCTTTCATACTTCACATATGTAATCCTTGTGACAAAACCTTCTTTTAGATACCAACCACTTTGACCTTTTGACCTTGACCTAGGAGTTTGACCTACTTTTGAAAAACTTTAACCTTGGCCATAACTTTTGAATGGTTGGTGCTAGGGCTTTCATACTTTACATATGTAATCCTTGTGACAAGACCTTCCTTTGGATACCAACCACTTTGACCCTTTGACCTTGACCTAGGAGTTTGACCTACTTTTGAAAAACTTTAACCTTGGCCATAACTTTTGAATGGTTGGTGGTAGGGCTTTCATACTTTACATATGTAATCCTTGTGACAAGACCTTCCTTTGGATACCAACAACTTTGACCTTGATGTTTTACTTACTTTTACAAAACTTTAACCTTCGCCATAACTTTTGAACAGTTGCAGCTAGGGCTTTCAAATTTAACATTTTTTTATCTTTTGGCCTGGATTTTGACTTGCATTTGAGAAACTTTAACCTTCGCCATAAGCTGCCATACGGGAGCATCAGTGTTTCACAAACACATCTTGTTGAACATTTTTTTTGGTGGACAACCTTAAATCCAATTATATTTCTCGCTCTTATCATGGTGTATAAAATCACCTGATCTAACGTTTCATTGTATAAATGTGAATGAAGACTACAATTCGAACAAAAAATAGACATTTTTTTCTAATTGTTTTTTCTCGCCAGCAAGAGGTTGCATTGTATATGTGTATTAAGACAACCATTTGAAGATATAGTACACTAAACACAGACAGCGTTATTTCTAAGTAGCAATTCAAACCAACATGAGATAGCTATTACTTTTATCGTATGGAGTTGTCGCCGCCATCGCTAGTATCTCTATCATTTCCGTCTGCGGTTTACTTTGAAGAGCTTCTGATTCTGTGTTCATTTCCCCAGGAAACGCAAACAGGAAATTATTTTTACATTTCAATTAACAGTCTGATTTAAACGATAATGTTTAAGTTACTGATATATTTTATACCTTTAAATACGTATAAACTGATGACTCCTTTTCTCCATTTATGTCCCCCTTTCCCATTATATCAAAAGCAGGGGTAAATCCGCTGCCGGGACGAACAAATTTCAAGCCATTTAAAAGTTCGGTTTTATTGTCCGCTGGTTCTTGGTGACCAAACTGGTTACAAGGAAATCCTAGGACTTTGAGATCGCTGTTAAAGTTGACATATGCATTCAGTTGGTGATACTGATAGGTAAACCCTGAAATGTATGCAGATATAGGCTTAATGACAGAGACATTTTACATTGCATAATCAGAAAGGTCGTGAAATTGCGCACATTGTATATTGAGTAATCCAGAGTTGTAGTTCGATAAACACACTATCGATCGTACACCTGCAGACAATAAAAAGTTTCCGCTAAAACGATCTTTTAATGTAGAGAAGGATCACTTTTGTTGCAAAAATATGATATGATAATTACTTTACACAAAGGCATTCTCTAATGAATCGTAATGAGTTAAACTGTGTGAATCTGTCCTGTGTCAGCTTGAGGGTTACAGGTTAGCGCCATCTTTCAGGTTCTTTTGTGCTATGCATTTTTTTTTTCAAATTAAATTTACAAAAAAAAAATTGATTGTATTTTTGTTAACAAATCAATATATGCGAGAATCGTATTTATAAGTAAATACGTCTACGCATTTGTAGAAGGAATCGTCATTTTTAATCTTCTGATGATACATGAATGAAGTCCTCATCCACATACAACAACATAGGCCATTGACATTTTCGTATTAGGAAGCAAGGAAATAACGGACATAGACTTTCTTCTACGTTGTCTTAATAAAACGGATTAAGTTTTTACACTCTATTTATATGCAAAGAAGAAAAGAGAACTGTATTTTTTTTTTTTTTTTTTTTTGCAAATGACGAATTAATCGAAACTATTCCGCTGTTTTGTATTGAAGTGTATCTAAAATAGGTTATTTTCCACAAAAAAGACGAACGATTTCCCGCATTGATATAATCTAAGCGAAAACTGCTTCCATTATATGTGTTGAATTACAAATTACCTCAGAAAGTAGCTAAATTTACCACCAAGGTTACATTCCCTGCAAACTCCTGCAGTGTCCGATTATTTCCCTCCAGGTCTACAGTCTGCAAGTCATAGAAACTTTCGTCGTTTGGAAGTCTGTCGCATACTGTATGCCACTTTGCACATTGTGCAGGTAAAAGGAAAGTCAGAGATAACAAGTGAAGAAGAAGAGGATTCATTTTTGTACTAAACCATGCTTCACAGATAACATCAACCGGTACAGTGAATATATACTAACATCTGTTGTCATCCGTCATTGTTTGCAATGGGGTTCAACAGAGGCTATATTGTCTATTTGTTACGTTGCTAGGTCTGTTTTCCTACATTCTGGCCCCTGGACTACTGTTTGTCGTTAATCGTTCATTATCTGAAATGTCACTTGAAGGCGCAAGCTGCCGGAGGGTTATTTAGATTTTGTTACACAATTTGTTTACGCGAACATCGTCATATGCACGTTGAAATTTGCTACAAAGGATCAGACGACTTGTACAACAAACAGAACAGAACTAACAAAATGACCTTTGTAAACATTAAATAAATTGGTATCTTTCTTCAAAGTTTAGAAAAAAAAAATGTGTTGAATATTAGGTTTTGTCAATCTGTGAATAGAATAATTGTGAATATATGTATCGTACCACTGAGACGGTATTATTACTCACAGCACACAGTTACATCGCATGAAGAACAGTTCACAATAATAGCTGAGTTTTCCTTCAAGTTGATTTTATATTTCTGCATTGACATCTTTTAACAGGTTTGTTTAACATCATGGAGGAAACAATCTCTCGGAGTGAGACTATTCTTAAACTTAGACGTTTCATATTTTTTGAATAATGTAATCGTCTGAATTCGTTTTATTTTAGGCTTTATTAGATTGATGTTATTCCATAGTGTAAAAATGCAAACTTTTTCCCCATTTTATTTTTACTTTTTTGCGAATATGTATTCTTTCATTTCCTCCGCTCCCAAAACAAAAGAATACGAAATCGACCTTGTAATGTTAGCTATGGCACTCTAATAAGGATAAAAAAAAAAAAACTCCATTGACAGAAAATCGGTTATCAATATTTGACTTCTGAATTAGCTTCTGGGAATTTTGATAACAATAAACTTCTACATGGCACATGATGACAATCTTAATTACAGGCATTCAAATTCAAAATATGATCTTTCCCATCACAATCGCTTTTCATTACTGGTCGAAATTAAAACCTACAATCATATGTACATGTATAAACAGACCACTGCAGACACATGACAAATGGAAACAAAGTGGTGTCAGGAATTTTAATTTGACATTGAACTTGTCCAAATTACTTTTGGTCATTATTTTGACAGAACTCCAAGTCACAAGCAATCCTTGTATTAAATTTATTCGTCTGTTTTTTTTTCTCACTTTCTTCTATAATCATGAACCAAATATATAAATATATGTATATATTTAGAGAGAGAGAGAGAGAGACAGACACAGACAGACAGAGGGGAGGAGGATTTCTATGGAGACCCCCTTTTTCCATGGTGCAGGGACATTGAGTTAGTTATCTGGATGTTAAACGAATTATCTTTTCCTCTTTATAAGTTTTAGTTCGCAATTTTTTTGTTTTATTTTTATTTTATCATAGAAATATATTAATTTTACGTATAGGTGTTGAGCTCTTCACTAAGTGGCCATGAATTTCTCAAAGTATTGGAAGGGGTCCGTGGCCTCTTACGTAACAACAGCAAATCTATTTTGTCACTTTAAGATTTAGTGCATTAATTTTTCATATAAATCTTAGACTCAAGGCCACTATGGAGCCTGAAACCTCCTATAAAAATGGAAATATGAATTTCGCAACGTGGTATATATTATATATACATCAGGCCCGTAGCAACGGTTACAAAGGGGCGGGGGGCAACTTCCCAAAAAATATGACAAACCAAAAAAAAAAAAGGGGGAAGAAAAAAAGAAACGAAAATTACAGTCCAAATCCTGGAACTTGCCAGTACTCGACCTAACCGTAACAAAGGAGGGGGAAGGGGGGGGGGTACAAGCATATAAAGGAAAATTTACCATAGCAAAATACACTGTACTATACTCAGAAACCCCCCCCCCCGCGTTCTGCGGGCCTGTACACTTTTCCTTACAAACAATATCTCTTCTTGATATTTGGTTGCACTTTCAACAAGAAGTACTTTCAGCTTTTTCCCATTATTGGGGTTGAAATAAATAGGGTAAGTTAACCATGGATCGGACACATACCTTGCTTCGGACAACTTCAGGCAATAAACTTTCTTTAAATCTGAGTGTTCCCGTGTTTTTACTTGTTTCTGTCTTGAAGCTGAAGATTTCAACTTTTTATTGATGCCGATTTTTATTGTCATGTTGCGATAAAAATACCCGAGAATGGCCTTGAAGTTACGTCATATTTTACATCATCGAGGGGGAGTAACCAGAATTTTATGATTTTGCAAATTTTGGCATGCTCTGTGAAGAACAAGCAGGGTTTAGAAAGGGCTATAGCACAACAGATCATATATTTAATCTTAAATGTTTAATTGATTTGTATTTACATAGAGGTAGAAAATTGTATTGTGCTTTTGTTGATTATCGTAAAGCATTTGACACTGTACGAAGGGCTTATTTATGGAAAAAAAATGTTGAAACATCCTATAGATGGAAATATGTTAAAAATAATACAAAATATATACAGTAATGCAAAGTCTTGTGTAAGGCAAGGCAGTTCTTGTTCCAATTTTTTTATTTCAAATATTGGTGTACGTCAAGGTGAAAATGTATCACCTGTTCTGTTTGCCATTTTCCTTAATGATTTGGTTGAATTTATGTCACATGCCTATAATGGTCTTGTAGATATGAACACGGCAGCTCACTTATTAGATACTGACGAGATAACTGTTTATTTACGTTTGTATTTGTTGTTGTATGCTGATGATACATGCAGTTATTTTAGCAGAGTCAGCTGCTGAATTGCAAGCTTCTTTAAATGCAATGTACTTGTACTGGCAAACTTGGAAGATGCAAGTTAATTCTCTTAAAACAAAAGTTGTTATTTTTTCTCGCTCTAACATAAACACTGATAATTTACATTTTACTTATAATGGTGATAGACTAGAAATTGTTAGAAACTTTCAATAGCTTGGAATAATTTTTTCTAGTAAAGGTACTTTTAATGACGCAAAGTCACATCTGGTACAACAAGCCAGAAAAGCTATGTATATTGTTCTTAGAAAATCCAGGAAATTAAATTTACCTATTCATATGCAACTGCAACTTTTTGACACCATGGTTGTACCTATATTGTTGTATGGTGTAGAAGTATGGGGTTTTGAAAACTGCAGCATTTTAGAATTCTTTCATATGGAATTTTGTAAGAAAATTTTGAAAGTTAAAAAAACTACTCCTCATTGTATTGTTTATAGAGAGCTGGGTAGAATACCACTTAGTATATTAGTAAAGTCTAGAATGGCTGGTTTCTGGCAAAGGATTTTGTGTGGTAAAAATGAGAAAATTTCCTTCACATTGTACTCAATTTTGTTTCAATTAGCTCAAAAGGTTTTTACCATTCAAAATGGCTCATGGAAATTAAGAATATTTTACATGATTGTAATTTGGATCTAATGTGGAATGCTCAGTATGTTGATAAATCATGCAAAATTGTTGTGTTGGTTAAGAATACTTTAAGAAATAGTTTTATCCAAGACTGGAATGTAAATGTATTAAATTTTCCAAAATGCCTTAATTATAGAATGTACAAGTGTGATTTTGGTTTTGAAAATTATCTAAACATGTTACCAAATGATCTTAGATTATATTTATGTAAATTTCGTTGTGTCAGTCATAACTTGCCAATTGAAGCTGGTAGATTTTATAGTATTGATAGATCTGAGAGACACTGTAACCTCTGCAATAACAATGAACTTGGTGATGAGTTTCATTATTTATTTAAGTGTCCTTTTTTTAAGAATGAAAGACAGAAATTTATACCTAGCAATATTTACACAAATCCAAACACAGTATCTTTTTATAATTTGATGAATACTTCTGATATATATGAACTAATAGGTTTAGCTAAGTTTTGTAAAACTGTTCTTAAATTATTTCATGCCTGAACTTCCTACAATGTAAACATTAAACGATTTTTTTTATATACAACCGTCAGTACTGTCCATATCAAAGTTCTTTTTGTGGTTCATTATGTTAACTGTTCACATGTTGATTTGTTCAATTGTTAAACTCTTATTTTACTAACATACCCCATGTGGGGGCTTTAGTGAAAATAAAAGTTTCAAAGTTTTTCATAGAGTTTTCGTTCTCTAATTAGACTTCAACGGAACGAGTCGGACTTGGTTGAAATTTGTCAATGATTGGTAATTTTACAGAACTTTTAAAGAAATTTCACTTCCATGTTTGTATATTTTTTTAGAGTTGTTTTTTTTTACTAGTATGTTCATTTCACCGTACATCGGACACAAATTAACCATGCATCGGACACTTTCCGATGCATGGGTAATCACTTCCATTTTCATACAGAACCCAACTGACATCCGTTTTTTGCGGAAATAGAAATTAAAATCTCTTATTTTTTTGTGAATATACATGTTATCGATATATGACGTCTAGAAATGGACTCAGTTTATTTTTACAAACCATAGTATGATAACCCATGAGACAAAGGTACAAGTTGACATATAAATAGCATTGTAAAGCCTTTCTAACCTGATGTGATGGAACTAAAAACTCTTCTCATTTGTGGATCGATGTAGTCATTCAAATTTAACTAGAAGGTTATATTTTAAATAAAAGATAAAAATATTTCAAGATCACCAATTTGGTCTTTTATAATGTTACTTCACTCATTATGATTTTTTACCACAATGTTTTATATATATACAATGTTTACGGCATTACATTTTATGTTTTCTATACCCTCCCATATGCTTTGCTTTTGTACAGGAATCTTCATTTGAGAATAAACATGAGTAAATCAACTCATTCTTGATAATCAATGTTAAATATTAACAACCTATATAATGTATATTGTTTTTGGTATAATTCATATATTTTCAAGGGATTTCATGTATCATATTTGCCGATTTTAGCGACATCTGCTTTAAACTGGATCTCCGCGCGTTTTTCACCGTTTAAGAGGACCAGTTTAGATGATGATAAAGAAGTTACCATTGCATAACATGAAACGACTAAGCATATAAAGAATTGAC